GATGGATGGATGGATGGATGGATGGATGGATGGATGGATGGATGGATATCAGCCATGACATCAATCATAAAGCATAGAGTGTGGAGGAGGAGGCAGAAGCCTTTGTCTGAGCTGGGCTCACAGGAGAGCCTGGAATTGATCACTTTCCCAGGTAATGAAACAACTCATTATTAAAAACAACCACCCAATGTGAAAGAACGCTGCATTAGCTAATATAAAACTTTAATGCTGTTGTACAGCATTTTTGTAGTTTGTTCATGTTAAATCAAACACACAATATCCAGGTTTATACAAAATTGTTACGATTGGGTCATTCTATTTAACAAAAAAAGAAAACCAAATGCTTTAAAAAAATCTAGAGTACTTTTAGGTTTTTTCGAAAACTCATCAGTTGTTTCAAAGCTTACAATATTTATTCAGACAAAAATGCTATGAGCTTTCAAGCACCAGTGCACACAGTCTTTACTGCTTTAAGTTCAGTAATAACATCTCACATGGATTTTTTCAAACTGCCCACAGTGTCACTCACGTTACAGTTTCGGGATCGATGCAGCTTGCAAAGGGTCAAAAACAAAACAGAGGTTGGAAAAATATTTACGTTAATTTATGCACAGAGCTTTACTAAGCAACACCATCCAGTTTAAAACCAAGCAATAGAGTAGACCATATCTGAGTTCAGTAAAGTTTAAAAAGTTAGATAAATTCAAACCTTCATTCATTGGCAACTTAAAAACAAGTTGAACTGTGAGATGAGCGAGCTCTTACAAATTGTTGAGAAAGTTTAGAAATAAACGTGTTTCTAAAGTAACTGTTGTGACTGTTGGAACAATATTAAAATTTGCAAGAGATATGATATATAACATAGACATATCTATCTAATGCACATATGTGTCAAACTCAAGGCTCGGGGCCAAATGTGGCCCTTGTTGACATCTTTTCTTGGCCTCAAGATGATATGTGAAACGTTAAATGCTTTTTTCACTGGAATTTTTTTCAGTTATCTTTGATGATGATATCAAAAGTGCATAAGAAAATATCAAATGAGACCAATCAAACTCTTGTTGAGGAACTTGCAACCAAGAAAAGATGTTGGGTATCCAACTTGAGTTATTGTAGATTCTGAAACTGGCTCTTAGTTTGAATAAAGGTTTTAATTTTGGCCCCCTTTTGTAAGTGAGTTTGACACCCCTGATTATGCAAAACAGACAACACTGTTGATGTTATTATAGCTCGAGGTTTTAGACAGACCCTAAATCAACTTTGTTTATTTCCAGAGTTGTCTTTGCTTTAGTTACACCATCTATCCTAAATGCAATGCTGAACACAACACCTGCTGCACATAGACACAAGTGCTTTTGTTAGGGGGTGTGGTGGCACAGTGTTTAGAGAGGGTGGGCCTGTGATCTGAGGGTCACTGATCAACTCCCTGGTTCAACTCTCCGGACCGACAGTATCAAAATGTGGGTGGGAAAGATAAAACACCCGCCCCTGCCTTCCCCTGCCCCGCTCAGCAGCTCTCCGGGAACCGTAGATGGCAGCCCACTGCTTCAAATGTGTGTGCTCACATGTGCAATTGGAAGAATGCAGATAATTGATTTCCCCATTAGAGATTAATAGAGTAAAATTATTTAAAAAAAAAAAAAAAAAAAATAAGGGTCTGTATACAGTTTGGTAAAGGCAGTGGTGGCGCAGAGGTTAGAGAAGGTGGGCCTGTGATCGAAAAATCACTGGGTCAACTCCCGGTACCGACAACATCAAAATGTGGGTAGGAAAGGTGAAGCACGCACACCTGCTTCCACCCTCATTTACCCCACTCTGGGCCCTTGAGCAAGGCTCTTAGCCCCCACCATCTGCTCTGAGAAGGGGTTCTCTGCAGACCAAAAATGGGCGTTTCTGGAGAATAGGCGTTTGTGGGGGGCAAACACTGATTGGCAGCTGTATTTGCTGCTCTTTAGGTAAGTTATGTCAGGCCTTTTTTTAAACTGAAGGTTTCTAAGAACAAGCGTTACATCTACTGTCAAACACAAGAGGATTCTCTTGTGTTCTTGGTTGTAGCTGCACCTGACACAGGTTGCCTTGAGTGTGGTCTTGGTACAATGAAATATGAAGCATCTGAAGCGAAACCTGCTCCTATTTGTCAAAAGTCTGGTCTCAATTAAAGATCATGAGTCCTGTAACAAGATAATGGCCCAAAACAAACGCTAAAAACAAAATTTGCTCTTCAGAAGTTCTTCTATGAGACCTGATCTATGAAAGGAGCTGAAACATGGAGTAGGATTGACCCTTAAAATGTGAGACAGCTGAGGAAGTTAACCAGTAAGCAGAAATATCTGCTCCAGTTGCAGAAATCTTACAGAAACTGACAATCACTCATCTGCAGTGACTGATTTAAAAGGTTGAAATAGAAAATGTGAAGTTAAAGGAAACATCCTTTGTCCCAAGGCCAGTTTAAGTATCATTAATATTTTGGTTACTTTATTTTTCTTTCCTTATGATTTGATTGTAACTATTTTCACATTATTCAACAACCTAAACTGATTATGTTTTTTAATGTAATCGATATGTAATAAAAAAAAAACGTTGGTTATGTACTGTAACCCCACGGAAAAGCACTCCTCGGCGCTTACCTTGAAACATGGCTGCTCGTCTCTGCTTCTCCTCGGGGAGGAAGAGCTCACCAGGACGCCAGGAGGTTGGCGTGGCGGAGACCCAGGCATACTTAGCAAAGGTTGTGCCGGTCAAAGCTGGACAACTTTTCCTTCTTCGTTCTTCTGACAGTGCTAGCTAGCTGGCTGAAGAAAAAATGAGAGCCGATTACCCGGTCTCACCGTAATTTATACGGACCGGGGGTGAGGCCCACACACAGCAGGTGGGCGTGGACTAAAGTTTTTTCAGTGCAGCGCTGAGCGCATAGGGATAAACCCACTAGCAAAAGTCTTAAAGGGTGAAGCCTATACTCATAGAACAAACATTTAGCCCTCCCCACTACCCAGTTATATTGCTCTTATTTTGAAATGTAATGGGAAGTTCTGTGAAGAGAGGCGGAAAAAGAAGTTATGGAGACGCCGCCAATGTCAAACCGGTTAACACCATAGACATAATATGCCTGTGGTTTACACAATCTGCCAATAACGCCTTGTTTTTTAACGTCCAATCAGATGTGCCCCCTCAGATACGCCTTCTGTATTTGTCTGCAGAGATACCTATTTGTCAGGAAGGACATTCAGCAGAAAAATTATTGCTAAATCTTTGTGAGAGTTAGTTTGCTGTGGCGACCCCTGAAGAAGGGAGCAGCCTAAAGAAAAAAAGAAATAATACAGTTTGGTAAACAGTGGAAGCAGGTTTTCACCACCTTTATTTTAATTTTGATTTTTGGCACAGGCTCCGTAATAGAGCAAAGTTCATTTGTTCAAACAATCAAGTAATAACGGCATACTCCATGGTTTTTGATCACTTCTGTCTGAATGCTGTGTGTTGATGGTGGTCTGAAAATGTTGAACTGAGAGCCACGTCACGTCTTTTTGAATAACAGTTCATTCAGTCTACTTTCTTTTCCTTTTGCTTCTTTTTGATTTTAGTTTCTTAGCTTTCTGTTGGACTGTTTCTGTCTTGTTTCTCCTTCTTTACACTTAAGAGGAGATAAGGGAGTTTGGGAAAAACCCGGAGCTGAGAAGCTCACTATAAAAGGAAGTTTGTCATAAAATATCTTCAGCCAAGTGTCAGAGAGACAGTGAGGGGAATTTCAGGGTTGTTTTAGGCACAATGTGATATTTTAGGAAATGTTTGACTTTCTTGCTAAATAATTAGATGAGTTTGCCATGGGGATTTAGTTTTTGTATAATTTTGAAATAAATATTTTAACAATTTAACAGTTAATCGCCTCATGCAACAAAACCAAACGGCTAGCCTTACATAGCCACGCTCATTAGTATGCAAACTGTGGCTTGTTCCAATTGGGGAGAATGTGACAGGTCGACCAGTGACCTGGAAATCAATAGCTTGTCGAAAAAAAAAAAATAAGTAGAGCAGAAATGATGAGCTATTTCTTTCTTCTTCCTGTCTTTGTGCTAAGCTAAACTAACTGGCTGCTTGTTGGAGCTTCATTAAAGTCCCAGAGTCCAATCGGATTTCATCCACGAAATTTCGGAGTCAGCTCTGCAGCAGGGCAAAGTACCTAATGTCCTATCACTCCTAGAGGCTTCAAACTTCATAATCAAAAGTGTTTAACACCACGTAGCACTTAAAACACCCCTCTGTATCACACTGCGGGGTGCTCACAGTTACTCTACACCTCCCAGCTGCTGATCTCTCCTTGTCTAGTTGTGTATTGACTTGACAAACCTCCGCTGCCCCCTCCTGACTCTGGGTTTGCGCTCCCTCTCTTATCCCCATTCACATCAGTGGACAGTTTTAGCTCCCTGTGGTTCGTCTGCTCTCTGGCTGGCTGCCACACTGAGCTGCCAAAAGTTGGAGTGAGCAGGGAGAAGCAGGAGGCCGGGGTCTGATGATGAGGGGGTGGAGGGAGCAGGGAGGTTGACCAAACACAGAAGGGACGAGCAGAAAGAGAGAGAGAAAGGGAGGGAGAAAGCATAAGAGGGACAGAGATGAGTCAAAACCTGGAGAGAAGAAGGACAGCAAACATTTCCTCTCTGTGTTTTCTTGGGAACTTCTCTTGGTTCGTTGTACACTGGGATGAGTCTGTGGTTTCCAGTCTGAATGGTGACTTTTTCATTTTTTGCCATCTGATAAGACTTTTGGCTTCATTAATCTTTGCCTTTTATTAAGTTGCTGCCAAAAAAAAAGGGACCACGCATCTGAAATCCCCTTCAAGTTCACACAGGAAGTTGTACTTAACAATCACATGCAAACACACGCCAGTTGCTGAGGATTCCCCAGGAGCCCAGTCATGGACAGGTGCATCACTGTGGTTTGAGGAGGTCTGTGCAGTCGTCATCTTCACTGAGTCAAAGCTGCTCGAAGGCAGAGGTGAAGGATGTCTTCCTACTTTCAGCGCTCCAAGGACCTGACTCGCACCAGGAAGTCACTGACAGAATCGCCACCGTCCTCTCCTTCCTATACAGACAAAAACTACAGAGTAAGCTTCATTTTCTTAAAAAATAATTAAAAAAATAAAACACATTTTGAATTTGGAACTGTCTGAGTTAAAGTAAATATTTAAACAGCTGGTTGATTTGGAATTATTCAAAAAATTCTTATTAATAATAATATTAATAGTCACATTACAGTAATTTGAAGCAGTAATTTATAGTAATTTGATGTGATTTCAAAAATTCATATATGAAAGTTAGCTTCTCTATTTTATTATTATCTAAATATTTGTGCACACTGCAGATTATTGGATATGAATAATAAATACTTGACTTTAGACGGTAGTTTGTACATTCGTAGACAACAAAATCAGGAAGACAGTTAACAATCAAGTAGTCTTGTAGTTGGAGAAGTTTGTTTTATGTGATTCTGCATCTATAACATAATTCAGTCACTTTTTGTTTCAGTTCATTTATTGAGAGGTGAGTGTTGCTCTAAAGCACAGATAGTCTGATCTCCCTATTTTGGAAAATACTTTTGGATTGAAAATTTCCTTCTGTGTTTTCTGATATAA